GACGCAACAATACATATTTAAGATAAAAAACACAATTCATTAATGCAAGAACGACTACAAAATGTTGGATTTACAATATTTTCTTCAATGATAACAGTAAATATTGGGCTTACAGTGGTTACTTAGCGGTAGAACACAACGTCACAATTCACTATACTGCACGTTCAGGATATCGATAAGAATGTTTAAGCTCCAAAAGAGGTGAGCACCCTCGGTGTTTCAGTGGTAAGTCTGGGGGCTTATAATGTTAAAAACGGGTTTCGATACCAGAGTGGGCAGAGCGTAAATAGTCCAGTGTGTAACTATGCACTTAACAATAAAAGGAAGAAGAAGCGAGTGTCTATGAGTGTAATAATATTGTTGTAGGTAGTTTGTAAAATTTAAATACTTGTATTGTTGTTTGTCCAGATGGAGCTTTGACGTCAAATGTGAAGTACGTGGCTTTAATGTCTGTAATTTTTTCAAGAACTTTAGAACTAGTAGTTAACAAATAAAATAGCAGATGTAATTGTTGATTAAGATCTTCAGTTTAGCACAATAATGTCAGGTAGTGTTATTTGATATAAATCATGAGTAAATTAGTGCCATTCTCTACTTTATGGCCCAAAAATATAGTTATTTCATAAAATTTTAGCGTATACCGTTTAAAGTAAAAGAGAGCTTACAGCTGTAATGAAGTTCAGGTTAAAACGACCAGTGTAGCTAGTTATAAAATATTGTGTAAGGTGTACAATATTAAGGATAGTTAAGCTTCTGTCACCAGTCAACTCAGTAAAGCTATCGTTAAATTATGGTGTAGTATGTTACGATCTGTAATATATAAATATAGTGCATTACAAATGCCCCCCAGTGGCACAGCGATATGTATGCGGACTTACAACGCTAGAATCTAGGTTTCGATACCCGTGGTGGGCAGAACACTGATAGCCCATTGTGTAGCTTTATGCTTAACTACAAACAAACAAACAAAGCATTATAGATTACCGTTTAATATTAAACACTGAAGTTAGGCTCCCCAGTGGCACAGTGATGTCTGCGGACGTATACTGCTAGAATCCGGGTTTCGATACTCGTGGTGGCAGAGTACAGATAGCCCTTTGTGTAGCTTTGTGTATAATATTTACAACACTGAATTTAGAAAAATATCAGGTAAAGTAATATGTATATTTTTGTATTCAGGGAATGATATATTCTATTTTCATGAATTGTAAATATTGTTGCGTCAGCGAGGTCACGTGACTAGTATCACGCCACGTCCTTCTC